TCATAATAAGTATACCAAATGGTGACCCAGGAACGCGAAAATATGTGTTATTGTAAATATTCACGAAAATATTCCTTCCTCAGCAGTCAACAGTTTAAAATTATTCTATTTAAATTATTCAAATATAAAACCCATTGCTTATGCACATATTTTAATATTATATTTATGTATGCAAAACAGTAATAGGTATCTCATAGTGTAACGCTGAGATAAAAATCGGTACCAAAATCGACATATTATGATTCGTTTTGTTATTGAACTTTATTAAGTTGTTCAATTCGTAGTATGTGGATAAAATACATGGTGGACGTGGGCGATACGTAAACATAAACCGGATACAGGATGGTGATTAAAATCCATTGATCTGGATGTGTGAACAATTTTCATGTTTAATCACATATCGTCCATAGACTTATGGGTAGATTACAGGGACGTATTTAGGAGGAGCTACAGGGTGCTGTTGCCCCTGGCGGCTGAATATGATAGGGCGGCTAAATTGTTATATTTTCAATATTTAATGATCTAATATTTTTGAAGTGAAACTTCTTTACAAAATAAAAAGTGTATCTCAAAAAAAAAATATGTATCGCCAATGGCGATCGCGTTATGACACACACACACACACACACATACACACACATACTCGGTAACGGTCGAGTACTGTCGATAGATCCAAATATTACAATCTATCCTTATATTGACATTGCACTTAGAATGTTTTTATGTACGCCAGGAACAAATTGTTCTTCAGAAAGATCTTTTTCAACTCGCAGAAATTTGTATTTGGTATAATGAAGCGTTTTTTATTGTTGCCCCTTGGCAAATTCCTAAATACGGCCCTTGTAGATTATCTATAAATATGCACACAACACACATACGTTTAAAGATATTTAAATAAAATGTGGTTTGGTGTATATTGCTTTATTATATTATATAAGTGTTGATAATACATATTAGATATATGTTCTGACGGTTCTGCTATCCAAAACTAACTAATTAGTGTATAAAAGTAAATATTAGTTTAAAGAGATATAGTTTGTTTATTTTTTTTTTTTTTTTTTGCGTTCGATAGATGACCTGGTGATACCTACTTACACAATGCTTCCGCCCGGCAACAGTTTGTAGATATTTAGATAATATTACGACACGAACATTTATTTTAAAAATGCTATCCTATTATTGATAAAAAGTAATAACTCAATAACTAATATTTATACATAAAAACTCAATAAGATAATAACGTTAAAAAATAATCATATCATTTCTTTGGGAGTTATTTTGAAGGAGATTGTATTCAAATGGATACATTAAATTATTATTTTCAATTTGTACTCACAATTAATTATTATTATCTTACAAATACATAGTAAGACAAGGATAGCATAGACGTAGACTTTCTAAAGTAGCTTAACTATAACATGTCAAAGGGTCATCATCATCGGAGAAGGGGGTTAGTGAATGTAAAGGTATCAATGGAATAAACCGATTACAACGGTTTAGTTAACAAAAGGGTTTAGATCGAACTTTGTGATAGATACTCTTGCCTCATTCTCATTATTAGTTAAAAAGGTTAAAATTTCCATTTGAGAGGTGGCAAATTTCACTTTAGGTACATCAAGATTACTACAAAAATTAAAAATTCAATTTAATATTTATCTGGTATATAATAGTATACAAAATATAAATTTAAAACTTAAAAATACTAATTATTATTTTGTAAAGATATCTAAATTGATTTTAACGATGTGAACAATATTATACTTATAAGTGCATTTAATTTGTAATATTATAATAAACTATTATACAACAGGCAAAAAAAAAAAATTCACATTTTAAAATATAGAAGTTCAAATTAGAATAATTTTAAAAAACTTATAATGATACTTAATAATACATAGTTAATCAATGTAGGTACATATTTATATGCAAAACGGCGATCCATATAGATCATACAAATGGAAACATGTTTTATGCTTCATCACGTGCAGAAAGGTAATATTTAATGAAAACACGAAATTAATAGATAAAACTTCGGATATCTACTGGAAAACATATTTTCTACACCCTTCATGACATCATCATTTTCTGACCAGATTTCGCTTAAATAAGACGTCCATAGTCGTCGGCACTCATTATTATGAGGGACTGCCGGCCATTGGCCGTCGAAGATGAATAACGGCTTCTATTACTTATTTTTAACGTAGGAACGATGGTGTATATATACAATGCACACAACACTACCAACACTACGGTAGGGGGGGAGTTGAAGCTGACAAAGCGGTTTTTCCTCTACCTATCTCTTTCTCTATCTCTCTCTCTCCCAAAGTGTAGTCATCCTCACGATAATATGAGACAATTAATAAAACTCGGGAACTACGGTTTATATGAGCAGGTGAGAACCATAGCGTGTCTAGAGATCATTTTTTACGAAAAATTGGGGAGCACAGAGTGCTAGAAGAGGGTAGAAAAACCTATTCCAGTTTGTTGTATAGAAATGGTCAGTTGGGAACCAGGAAGCATAGGGTAAGCATAATTTTTTGTAGTTTTTCTAATAGGCATACATTGAACATAATTGGTATGAATCATTAATTGAATTATGGGAAGCTGTTGGATAAAAAAAACGTTTCATGCGAGGAATATTCTGTATTGTCAAATATTTTGACATTTTAAATACGATAATGCAATATTTGTGTTCAAATTTTATTCAAAGTAATTTGATATAGAAGATACAATTCAATTTTATGTTTAAAATTCTATAATGTGCTAGGCAAATAAAAATAATTAATTAAGCTTATGACAATAATTAATTTTCTTTTAAATTTTGAATTATGATTTTCATAGTTAAAAAGATATTTTATTTTGATGACTTTAGTGGGCTAGTTTTTCGGTTTATCTAAAATGTATAAAATTTTCATTCATATTTTATTTTCGTTAAATTGTTTCAAAAACGTATTACAAATTTATCTTCAATAAGGTAAAATTATTTTTTCGTTTAGCATTTGTGTTCTTTTATAGTTTAGGGTTACTAATACTCTGGGGAACGTTGGTAATGTATTAAAGTTGTTCATTCGAAAGTCGCGGACAGGATTTAAGAAATATGTAAGACGAGATGGCTTTTATTTAAGCCGATTTACGACTGTTGGTCTTTTCAAATCTTTTTTGTGTTGAACGTTTTTCAGGAAAGCTGTGGTCAAACAACGTACATCAATAGTGATATTCCCACGTCTATTACCCATCCATGAAAAGAAAATAGTGCAGTTAAATATTAACTTGAATAAAAAAAAAGAATATAACTTCTCGTTCAAAACACTGTTGACTAATCGCGGCTTTTTTGTATCTTAATACTAGTTTATAATTCGTACCTGTTCATTGTATACAATACATCAGGTATAGATGTATAAGTAATTACGTAATGGTTAATATAAACATACAAATAGGAGGTAAACAATGAAACTTCGTAGCAAATCCAAAATCTGTTGTGTTTAGTTCACATGTTTTAAATTATAAATATTAAATTAATGGATAAATTATACGTAATATATTAATTATATAGTAATAAATCTATTGTTATAAATGTAAATACTTAACAGAATGTTGATTAATATATTTTAAATAATAACCATGTAACTTAAAACATATACTATTTAGTTCCGTAATACATTACAATATATAACTCATAACTCTTATCAACAATTCTGAAATTAAAGCTTATAAAAATATTTAGTTAACAAAAAATACCTTCGAATAATACATACAGTATCATAAAAACACTACTCAAGTAGTAGAGAATAGAAATACTACAACGGTTCTCCCACGGTCACATCCGTTGATTTAATATTATTATTTAAAAAAATAATTCACTCAATTGGTTATACTTAACTAGCAATAAGTACTTGCATGATGCAGTAACGTATTGATTCGCGCCCTAATAAAAACACTTGTGAATTATTGAATAAATATTCCGGGTACGTTGAACAGACGTTTTAGACGCGTGCCACACACGTGCTGGCGTTTGTCAAAACATTGGTTTTGTCACCCTGTATAGGTGGTGGTGGTTAGTTGTTAAAGGCACGCGCGTTAAACCCAGATTTCGAATGGATTAAAAAATAAGTTTATTCATTTTGATACCAGAAAATAATCTTTTGGGAAACAAAATTGCGGAGGGTGAAAATCGAAAGTTCAGATTACTTCTAAGTTTTTAAGAACGAGAGTTGTTGATGTTTGATGATGTACCAATAATTGAATTGTACAAGCTTTCAAAATAATTATAAGTAAGCTTTTCAAGTGTCTCAAAAAATTAACAGTTAATAAGTAAGTTTACGTTATATTTATTATAAATTATTATTTAAAAAAAAACCTGTTATAAATTAATTTAAGTTTCGTATAGTTAGCAACAAATAACTAGTTCATTGATTATGCTTGTAACTAACTCATCACTTTTTATTTTATTATTTATTTTAAGAGCTATTTGGTATTGCAGCTTGGAATTTAAAAATTTAACATTATAACATTATACTTTTATAATTCAATTATAAAAGAATGAATAAATAAAAATAAATAAAACGTCAATGAACCATAATACAAAAAAACAAATAATTGAATATAATAATATAAAATAATTAAAAAACTTAAATACAAATACATATAGTAAAACATACATAGTCAAATTGGAAATCTCAATCGATTCCTCATTTTTTTTTTTATGAAAATGGACGCTATTGAAGATAATTAATCTAAAACTTGATCAAATTTTCAATTAACTTCCATTTTTTCTATACATTTCACAAATTTTCATTTTGTTTAGAGTTGGGCAATGTGATAGTTTTTAGAATTAACAATTAACTTACAAGTAGATACTATAATGTATATGTATTTATTAAATTGAAATAGTTAATTATGGGAGTTATTGAATATAAATGATGCATTTATTTAAAATGTGAAATTAATTAATATTAACATTATTATTTTTTTAGTATATTAGATAATTAATCAAACTTACTGTAATATTTTTCAATTGAAAAATTAACGTTTTCATATATTTTTCTTGCTGTTAATTCTGTTTCAGTATATCTTGTCAATTTTAGTATTTCTTGTAAGTTTATCTATGAATAATACAAATGTATATAAATACGAATTATATATTATATTAAAACACCTTTTATACATTTAAATTAAATAATGGTATTTTAGAGGATTTAGTAATCATTAATTAATAAAAGCTTTTACATATTTTCATATTATTAAAAATTAAACTATGCATTTACATAATTTACAACCTAGGAAATAAATAAATGTATAGAAAATTATTTTTTAATTAAAATGTTTAAAATATATATTTTGTATGTTCTGGAAAATCCAACTAAGGAGGTAATAAATATAATTTAAAATACATATATCTGAAATAAGATATTACTTACTTCATTCCTAACAATGGTGCACATTGATTTATTCATATTTTTAGTCAATGAATGTAACAGTTTTAAAGAAAATAATAACGTATCATCAATATCCTTGTAAGTAGTTACTTTTAAATCATTATCTAATGTTTTAATTAACTTATTATTTTCCATAAGCACATGTCCATTGCACTGAATACTCACATTATACAGTACTGCATAAGCAATCCTAAAAATAAAATATCTATATTTTATCTAGGTTGTTAAATAAAAGTTAATAGTAGAAAAAATTAAGTTAAAATATTTACTTCTTTAAATTATGTTTAAGTGAATAAGGTGTACACAGCACCAAAGTCACAATATGATTAACTAAATTAATCCCATCATTTATTTGTGTAAAAAAATGACAGCCAGATTTAGAGGTCGTTAGATTAGCTACTATACCCAGAATATTTAATATAAATTTAGTTTCACATGTGTTTATAGGAGGCATCTGATTATTATACGTTTCTACAAAGGAACTAAGAATACCAGTAAATAGTTTGGCCATTTTTGTAATTTTATCCTAAAGTATTAAAAATGATTAATTAGATTTCATTCATAAATCATTAACATTTAAACTGATGTATAGGTAACCTTTTGCAAAACCATATCAACTATAGCAGGCATTTGAGTTGCTTTCCACAAGTAGTAACCAAATGTAGACCCAATATTGGAACAAAAAGTTGATTGCTGTTTTAATTGCATTTTTAATTCTGCGATTTGAAATTGTAATTTATTTATAGTAGCAAGTGATTCATTCTCCATCAGAGTATACTTGGATTTTAATTGTTCTATTTCAGCTTGGAAAAAAAATGATGTATGAAACTCAAAATGCAAATTTATTTTAGGTCAGCAACACAAAGTAGGTTTAGGTAACACAAATGGGAAAAAGGCAACAAGCATGAAAACAAGAATTATTTTCAAGGGATGAAAATGTAATGGAGAATTCAAGGATAATAGGATAATCATGTTTACTTATTTTTTACAGTATTATAATATAATACAAACGAACTTATTAAAAAATAAAATAAATAATATTAAACCAAATAAGAATATATTTCCATGTACATTTTTCTTCTAATTTTTAAATAAATTTTCTAACTATGTATGAAATATATAAAAACTTTTTGGTAATAATGGTCATAATTTTAAATTTATTTTTCATACAAAAAAAAAAAAAAGTAATTTTGATGGAGTAAAAACCAGATAAGTCCATGTCGTATCAAGTCAATCAAACGTATACGTATTCCACTAGTATATTTTTTACTGTTAGACAAATGTAATTATACACGTTAATTTACTTATTTGGTTGCAAAATGTTCAAAAATAAATTTACTATTCACTCTATCAAAAATAATTTATAACTTCGAAGAAGGTATATAATGATACAAAAAAAAAAATATGTATATGGCCAGATATACAGATCATAATATGTAGGTTTCACTTGACCCAAAATTGAAAGAGATGTATTCAAAGTCTTATAAATAATATTTTAATTGTATACTCGTATTATGGTCAAATTGTTAAATTCAAATGATTATATTAAATAAATAAAATACATTAATAATTAATATTATGTAAATTATATAAACGTGCTACTATCGTTCTGAATAATATTTTTAAATACATATGTTAAATTATACTTTATTTCGTTGAGTTTGTCTAAAGTATATTAAGATAAATCAAGTAAAATTTGTAAGTCTCTAAAACGGGTATTTCGTTTACCATTATTGAATTCAGAAAGAGTAAGTGATTGTCTTACACCTGATATTATGTCAGTTTCTCCTAATGATGAGTAAGTTCTGCGATTATTTCGTTACAAATTATGTTGGTGATGGAGCAAAATTTAATCCTCATTTGTGAGTTTCTCGAAGTTACATCAGAACCCACCAGTAATAATTGTAAATCTTTTCACTCTAAATTAAATTCTTAATTCACAATATCTCATCTCAGTATATTAATATTTACTTAAGTTTTAAATATGAAGATACTAACAGATACTTATTAATAATAATAAATTATTATATTTATAAATAAAATAAAAGTTTCGAAAAATAGTAAAACTAGAGCTTTTAAAAACTAAAAAAAATAAGTGATTTATTATTATTAAATTATAATATATTTTCAATTTTATTATTATGTTAAACAGCTTATTAATTTTTTTTGACATTTGAGTACATTTATATTTATTTATTAAAAGTATATATATATATATATATTATATTTACTATATATATTATATATAATATATTCATAGCTTATATTTTTATAAAATTAGGAACTTATATCGATTTTCTAAAAAATTTTATTTATTAATTTCTCTTTATAAATATAGTCATATGAAAATAAGAGCCACCAGAATCGATACCTACTTGATTTTTATAAACAATAGCTAGCAGAATCAATAACTGCCAGAGTCAATATATGATTTTTACGAACAGTAGCGGAATGAATAGCTGTTGGAATCGATATACGCCCATTTTTATATATTAAGTATTACAATTTATATTTAAATAAATAATTTGTATACATAAACATATATAATTATTCAATCTATTATGTACTAACACGATTAAATAATTTAGATTTTTTTATTTTTAATAAATTTAATTTAAATCATCAGTTTGAATTTAATGGTAAAATATAACTGTAATTTATTATAATAATCTTACTTTTTTTGATTTCAAACATATTTTTAAAGTGCACACAATTAGATTGAAATTCTTCCGATAATTGTTGAACTTGAATACAACTAACCTCATTATCACCATAAATAGTTTCAAACGCATCATTAAATGCTTTAAGCTGATAGACAAAACAAAATGTAACTCCCTTTGTGCGACTCATAGTATGTATACGTATATTTTACCATCACTTCACATTTATCATTGGAATCATTCAAATTATTGTCGAGGTTAATTGTTGCGTTTTCTTCATCTGAATTACAGGTTTCACGAATCGATGTCTCATAACATGGAATATCGCATCCTAATTTTTCATTATCAATTTCATGTAGAAAGCTACTGAATAATGATGGTTTTTTTGTCGTATTTTTTTCCATAATGTATGTGCACTAGCTAGTAATTACGGATTGCCTTAAACAATTTATAACTAAGTAAAAAATTACAATTGTAATTGTAAGTTAATTGGGACGAGTTATGAAAGATTTACAAAATAGGAAATCTGAATGCTGAATATTACAATTTGTAATGAAGACTTAAAAGATCTTTCTCTACACCGTAGTAATAACGTAATAATTTAATATTGTAGTAAATTATAAATGGCGGTACATAATCGGTATAAGGTATAGTATAGGTTATCTACCGTGGTATGAAATAGTTAATAATTTGAAATGTTGGTATTTCAAGACGGTCTATGCAATTGGAAAATAATAATTTTATTATTCCATTAACTGCTCGAAAACATTTATTATTTATTAAATGATTTAAAAGTTATATTTTATTGCTAAGAAGTCATTCTAACCTACTAATATAAGAATTACATACCTTCACTGAGTTACATAAACTTCCTGGAAATCCACAATGCAGACTTTAAAGGAAATAGTGTCATTATCATTTAAATTAAAAATATCTCTCCTCAACAGATAAGTACGAATATATATACAAAACTAAAGCACCCTTCACACGTTCAGTTTTAACCGCGCGATTGAATGGCGTGAGGGTTTTCACGCGGGAAAGAATTTTCGTCTAAACGATTCGCCGAAGTCTTGCACGTTTGAACGTGTTCAAAACTTGAAATGTTCATGCGCGTTCTTGTGCGTGGTTATTCGTTTTATCGTTTTTATTTGTATTTCGTGTCGACGCGGCGATCAATAACTACTGATAAGCGATTACAACTATTATAATAATCGATATTTTAAAAAAAATTTATTATTCTTAATAATAGTATTTAAATACTAAATACAGTTGACAGACGGGTTATAAAAACAAAATTAAATATAAATTAAAATTTATTTATTCCATTAGTTATTATTATTATTAACTAACAGGGCCGGATTGGCCCGGCGAGTTACCGAGCAAAACTCGGTGGGCCGCGATAATTTTTGGCCTTTTAAGTTGTGAAAGGCCACTAACAGAAAATATTTATAGTTTAAAGTTGAAGATTAGTGCACCTATTGAAATATGCGATTAAAAAAATTTGGACAAGGGCCGCCAGTTAGTAAGTGGGCCAGTAATATACAGAAAACTCGGTGGGTCGAATTTGTCCAAATCGGCCTAGTTAATTAATTACATTAGTTATTCCATTTATACATTCCACGCGCCACGCATTCACGCGTTCAAAACGGCACGACACACTTTAGACAAAGCCGCGTTTAACAGATGACAAAGAGGGAGGGGGAATTGCCCCGGGGCGGCTATTTTTATGATGTTTGATGGGGTGGCAAATTATTGAGGATCAACATAAAATAAAAAATATGTAATTATAATTTTTCTTTTATGACTCTATAACTACGAGTATAATAAATATTATTTTGTTTATAAATACCACGAAAAATCCGCCGTCTACTAACGCTACATGTTACAAGGCGATAAGAATTATGAACTTGTATTAGCTGATTATATTTTGTCACATTTGGTAATTTTTTAAATTTATATATGAGGTATAATTAATAATTATAGAATTTAAATATAAGTAATAATGTGCTATTTAAAATATATGTAATATAGATATTATTAATTTGTAAATTTATTGATCTTGCATTGTAATAACCCAAAAATACAAAAAATAAAATAAAGGCGTAGGAGGGCGGAGATGGTATATATATATATATATATATATATATATGTTAATGGCGGTGAGGTATTAATGTATTAAAGGGTTGTTACCTTCCTCTTTGTTTAAGGGAGGGCTCTCAGGGTTGTGAAGGTTCAAGAGCCGATCAGTGCAATTACGCAGTCTGCCAAGCCAAATAAAGCAGCACTTGTTTTTCCGTAGACCTTCAGATATCGATGCGAGGTTGAAAAAAAAGGACAAATGCAGAATTTAATTGCACTGGATCCGGATACTCTTCAACACTCGTACGAAAAACACAAGTCGAACGGATTAAAATTATAAGTCAGAATAAATCGCAGATATAAACTCTTCGTTGATCTTACGATTGGTGCGCATGCACTGACGACCTAAGATCAAGAGGCCAGGGAAGGGTGATGTGTGTCCCTGTTATATAGGGACACGCGGCGGCATGGATCTTGGGCAGTCCTTTGACTGTAGGGATGTCAATAATATTTATTGTTCGACCCGTGTTGTTAGCGCGGGTATCGAAGATATCGTTATTTATTTGACTTACTACTACTAATACCTGACCAAAGTATTTATATTTCTTAACATATCCATGATTAATGAGAATTCATTTAAAATAATTGGGAATGTTTGGGGGCTTTTGCAACGTCCACCATCGTCACCAAACCCAGGAGTCTTCAAACTTAAGTTTGCTTAAGTGTGATCAAACATTTGAGCGGGCTCCTGTAAGTTCCTGTTCGTAATTCGTACTTTTTTCACTTTTTGTACTCTTGTTCTGAAATCTGAGACAACAGTTAGAAAAAGCGCGTATTGGGTTGTGGTGCTATCGCACGTTGCACATGCATCGAAATATTAATGATTTCGATGATGGTCAAGTTTTTTGTTATTTTTTTAATTTTTTTTTTTGTCACGCCCATTTATTTATTTTTATTATAATATTATTATTATTATTATTATTATTATTATTATTATTATTATTATTTATAGATCGAACCAATTACATTAGTTGAAACTTAAATTAAAACTTAAAAACAACCAATACTTACATGTTGTTTATGGCGGATTTCATCCCGTGCACCAGGATTGTGAGCAATACAATGAATTTAATACAATTAAGGCACAGCCCCTGCATGCAACCACTGAACCACAGTCACGAACGAAGATACAAGTTTGCAAGGTAAGACGTAAACCACATTAAATCACAATTGATTAAGTGAATCTAGTAAGTGAATACCCTAAAACATGGTAACGAATAAATGTAAGACAATAAAGTTCTGTAGAACAACACTCATCGAATATCAAAATAAAGAAAAACGTGATTCAAACATAAAATGGCTGTGGTATATTTATTGAATTTTGATTCGACAAAACTTTTTTTCGAAATTTTTTTACATTATTTTTATATGTTGGTTTCTCCTTGTTTTATACTATAAACATTGACTGATACTTCATTTTTTTTTTCAAATTTTTGAATATCATTTAATGTGGCAGGGAAATTTAAATTAGAAAAATCATATCTGTCCTGTATTTTTGTGTAATGAGTTAATCTTTCAGGATGAGCAGAATTAATATGCTTCATCAACACGCTATGCTTAAAACATTTGTCATCAGTATTACAAATATTAATAGTTGCTTTTTTTATTTTCTATAAATGCGGGTAACGGAATGTATGAAGAACCAGAACAAAATACGAATTTTCCGCCGCGGGCCACAAACGCGGCGTGTTGATTTCGGCCGTCGTATGATACACAATTAATCTTTCGTATCTTGTCTTTTTTCGTTGTGTGCACCTCGAATTCGTTCACGTGTATTATTATTATTACAGCCATTTTTTGTTTAAACCACGTTCTTCTATATTTTGATGTTTAACGAGTGTTGTTCTATAGAACTTCATTGCCTTACATTTATTCGTTTCCATGTTTTAGGGTGTTCACTTACCAGCATCAATTGTGATTTAATGTGGTTTTCATCCTACGCTGCAAACTTATATCTTTGTTCGTGACTGTGGTTCAGTGGTTGCATGCACGCAGGGGCTGTGCCTTTATAGTATTAAATTTATTGTATTGCTCACATCCCTGGTGCACGGGATGAAATCCGCCATCAACAACATAATCACATGTAAGTATTGGTCGGTTTTAAGTTTTAATGTAAGTTTTAATTAATGTAATTAGTCCGATCTATAAAAAATAATATAATAAAAATAAATAGATTGGCGTAATAAAAAAAAAAAATTTAAAAAAATTACAAAAAACCTGACCGAGAATCGAACCGAAACTTATTTCGAATTTCAATCGATCTCAGTAAAACGGACTGTTTGAGGAATACTTACGTGATATTGCCTCCTCATTTAATTAAAAATTAAAATTGTATTAAAGAGAAAATAATTACAGATAAATCTTAGTACGTTGCATTGAACGGAAAAAAAGTTCACCGCCCCATAATCGCCCAAAACAAGCTCACCGTCCCTCAGTACTCTTTCACCGCCCACTGGGGGGCGATATCACCCCCGTTGTGAAGCACTGGTTTAGAACTTCTTTGCATTTTCATTTGAAAATTTCTTAATATTTTAATTATTTGAATATTTTATTTTTATCATTCTATAGGATTTGAATGCTTATTTTCTAAACATGAGGTTACTGAAAAAGATGAAAATGAATTTACTGAATTGATTAAATTTTATTTTCCCATGGTATCTAATGATTCTTTAATTGAATTAAAACTGTGGCATATCTAGATCCAACAATCTGAAAAAATACCTAATATTGGCCTCGAGGTTCTAGATATTTTTAATAAAGATATCTACCATAACAATCAGAGACTGATGACGGTTTATTAACATTAATTGTTACTGGTATATTAATTAAATCATTATTAATTTCAAATTTGTTAGTATATTTGTTACATAAAAATAATTAACAAAATTTGTTCACAGGAAAAATCGTGGAAACTGTTGAAAGTATAAATTTTAATGAAAACACATCAATGGTTGATTTAATGCTATCTTTAACTGTTGAAAGTAAATAGATATTGAGAACAGCTAAGAGTTTCAAAAAATCAATTTTCCAGATATTTCTTCAATACATTTTTGTCAAAATGATCCTGTCCGATTCATGCATTTAAAAAACATTTCACCTCAACTAATGGATACTATTTTAAAATGGGGACCATGTCAGCCACAAAAAGATGATCTTCGAACAGGTATATTTCCTAAGGATAAAATAAAATGAAAATGTCTTCCACAATGATATAAGAAACCTCTTCATGATGGCACATTATGAATAAGAGATTGGCTTTCTTATTCACCATATCTTGATAAAGTATTTTGTTGATATTATATTTTATTTTCAAACAATTCTTCCAAAACGTGGACAAAAATTGGCTTCTTCAAATGAAAAGACGCTGTTCAAAATTTTATTATTCACGAAACATCTTCCTCACATATTGATACTCTCTTAAATTTAAAATTCGTAAAAATTCTTTATCTTTGATGCCCTCATTAGAGGAAGAAAAAAAGTTAAAAGTAGCCATAATCGTAATTGATGTAATTTTGTATCTTGCTCGTCACAATTTGGCTTTACATGGCCACAACGAAAAATTTTCATACAGTCTTCAAGGAAATTATAAGTAACTTCTCTTACTTTTGTCTTCTCACTTGCTAGTAATTGCTTCATATTTAACTAAACTTTAAACAAATGAAAAAAGTACATTATCATTCATTTCTTGGTAACGCCAAAATTAAATGATTGATGTTATTTTATCTCATATTTCTAAAAAAATTTCAACTGTTATCTCGAAGTCTGTAGTATTTAGTATTTCTTTGGATACTTCTTTAATATTTTACTTAAAAATCAACTCTCATTTGTGGTATGATATGTGACTGAAGCTACAGGTTGTGTACAAGAAAGATTTCTTGCCATGAAAAGTACTTATTCGATAACTGGAAAAAGTTTGATGTCTGTATTTAAAGACATTTGCCAAATGAATAACTTATTGTGGAAAGAAAATTTAATAGGTCAGTCTTATGATGGGGCATTCAACATGAGAGATCATTTTAATGGTCTACAGGCATTTATTTAAAACATTAACCCACATGCTAAATTTGTGTGGTGCTGAGCACATAGATTGAATTTAATTGTTACTGATTCAGTCAGCTGTTGTCTTAATGCAATGGATCTTTTTGGAACATTAGAAAAACTGTATGATTTAGTAAGCTCGAGTAAAAATAGAGTTTGGGTGTTTGAAAAATTTCAAAAGCAAAGATATCCTAAAAGTCAAATAAAACCTTTGAAAAAAGTTGATACTACCAGGCAGAACTCCCAATCGTCAGCATTGACTACTGTAAATGACACTTTTTTAGCTATTCTAGATATATCAGATTCAATAAGACATAGTGAAGAAACTACAGGTCGTAAAGCTGAATTTGAAGCAGGCAATCTAAGGTCATACATGACAACTGAAAGGTTCATTTTTACAACATTTATTTTTCAAAAATTATTTTCTTCCCGTCAGCCACTTTCTAAAATACTCCAAAATCATGATTTGAACTTATTTGCTGCTGCAGAAATGGTAAATAGAACAAAAAATCAAATTTTTGCCATAAGAAATTATGATAATTTTCAAGAAATACTCAAACAAAAGAATTTGTAAATAACCTTAAGAATGACCTAGACATTAACAAAGATATTGAGTTTATTCCATTACCCATTATTCGTTCATGTAAAAAAAAGATGACTGGTGAACTTGCAAATTATCAAGTAGAATCAGATCCCCTTGCATATTTTAAGATTGAAACTTATTATAAAGTAATTGACAATACTTATAGACAGATAGATTGTAGATTTAATGAACTAAATCAACATTTATTCAAAGATTTATCACTTTTAACTCATCGTAGAATTCTTGAAATTAGACATAAGGCAAATGATTTACCAATAGAAATATTTAATTTGTTCGCGGATATTTATAAAAAGTGTATCGATAAAGATGCATTGGTCAGTGAATATTGTCATTTCGTGAATTATTATGAAGAGCTGTTGAAATCTAATTATTTGCCCAACCGTATCTATAAAAGCAGTCAATTTACCAATAATATTTCCAATGATTCAGATAGTGACAGTGATAAAATATATGAAGATCTAAAACAACCATATAACACTGCAAGTATGGTATCATTGTTTTAATTGTTTTGTAAAGCAAAGTTAAAATCAGTTTTCTCTAACCTGTATATGGCTCTAAAATTGCTGTGACGTTGCCTGTTAGTAGTATAACAACTGAACGCTCTTTTTCAAAAATGAAATTAATTAAGATCTTAATAAGTTAAGCTAACCTTACTAAGTTCAACTATGGGAACTGATCAACTGGAATGACTTATGAGAATGTCTTGTAAATTTGATATAGCATTGATTATGACATAGTTATTGATGTGTTTTACATTTTTATTATATTAATTTATTATTTATTAAACTATAATTTAAATATCGTAAAGTAATAATAAAGCATAATTTGTAAATAATATATATGTGATAATAATTATTTTTGTCTAATTCTTTGTTTGTTGTTTCTTTTAGACACTATTAAATACTAATGACAATTTTATGTCCGTATACTCTTTTATTTTTTATACAACATTTTGTGAAAAATAGTATTTGACAAAAATAGAGAAAATGAAGTGTTAAAATTATTAAAAATGTATAGGTTTACTGATAATACTTGCAGCTTGTACACTGGTATTTCCATAGACATTATACTCATAGACGGAGCATCCTTAGTTGGCAGGGTTGGGTGATGCGGTCACAGCAATCCTCTTAGCAGTGTTGTCATTTCTGACGACATAAAATATGTTTATTTATTTATTTTATTATAATAATGTTATAACATAATAGAGCTCGGGGCTATGCACTTGCAAATTTCAAATTTGCAAAACATTTCTTCGGAAAGCAAATAGAATAAATCTGATTCGTTATAAATTTGTTTTGTGGTATGCAAACTTATTTCCAACTTTTTTTCTATAAATGCATATTTTTTAAATTTTTATTGCATATTTTAAATAGAAAATTTTTTTAATTATTTACATAATAAATTAAACTTTTATTTGTATACAAATAATAAATAAACATTATTAATACATTTATGAAATTCAATTTTCTATACAAGTATTTGGTTTTAAGAACAGCATTTAAACTAAAAAATTTAAAGAAAAAAACCATTATAAATATATTATACCTAATCAAAGTAAAATAAGTTAACGATGATAAATTCTTTGATATTTTATTTTTAAATATATACAAAGTTATACAAATTTATTTTACAACTTACAAGTGAACGTATTGTAAATAATTATTGCACTAAGTTCAATGCATGCCTATTAGTAATATTAGCGTATTGACTATTGATGTTTTAAATAATTGTTATCAGTCGACAGTTATTATCATACAATACATTTTTAAAAAACACCCATAAACACACACAACCTGAAATTCTACTGCGCATGTGTGTAGTTCACCGGGTCCTGTTGAGTAGCGCAGCCTTGCAAGACCGCCGAACTACACCCTTACTCTGTCTATTAGTATACGGTCTATGGGTATTTCATATGTATCAGTAATTAGAGTTAAGGTATCAATGTATGGTAAAATGATAAATTATAAATTTATAATTATAAGAGAGAATGAGACAGTTACTTATGAATGGGTAAAAATATACTGATAGGCATCTGTAAGAAATAATGACTGATTAGCAGTGGAATTTTTTTTTTGGGGGGGTTAGAAAAAATTTAACATTAAATTTTTTTGAATTTTATGTTTTATTATAATCAATAGATAATATACATAAATTAAAATTTTTCGGGTGGTTTATAACCCCCTTACCCCTCCTTGATACGCTACTACTGATTATTACCTACTTAATAGGTGAAATTGGAGTGATAAATCGTGAGCGAAGCGAACGACTTTATGATGGTTAAATTTATAATATAATTATTCAATTATTTAACTTCTCATTATTTCGCTCTAACTTTTTGGGTGGTGGTATTAGCAAATTGTTATACTTCGCCCCACCAAATGAAATACGAGTTGGCGCCACTGAAGATAGGACATTTGGCCCCTGGAGTTATATAGATTTATTTTAATTATAATATTTGTACAAATGTGACAGGAAAAATTAATCATATATTATTTATAATTTATGTTTATTTAATATAATTGTAACTAAATTATTATTATTATCATTATAATTGTTTTTTTTTATTGGTAGGTACGTGCTCGTAACAATTCGCCGATTGCGGCGTGTACGGTTTAAGCAATATACGGTTATTTTGGATTTAAATTTGTTATACAGTTGTGCGTTTTATAATAATTTAAATTTAAGTTAAAAAAAAAACGATTTAAATTTAGTGATTTAAAATTCCAGGGGCCAAACGTCCTATGGTTAGGCATAAATAAATCTATCTAACTCCCGGGGGCCAAATGTCCTATTCTAATAATAGATGGGACGAAAAGTCCATGGACTTGTTTTTTTGACGAGGATGAAAAGGCGGGGGCGATACGTCCTTTAACTGAAACATATTTTTCTAGGTGGATGGATTTTTTATATTAGATAATTTTTAAGATAATGAAATTATCTAAATCTTATTATTATCTTATTATCTTATCTCATTATCTGATGGTGAAATTATTTATCTAGATAAAATAAAAGATAATTAAATAATTATCTAAATAAGTCTCAACATTGGGTGTAACCCGTTGCAGTTGCGTTGTACATTTATTTCCTCGGAAAATCAACGGTTGTCTTTTGAGAATTGTTCAACATATTACATTTTTCTCATAAAAAATTTGTTAATATATTTCTCGTGTTTGTTTCTCTTGTTCGACAGACTTTAATAGATCGTGTTCTTTAGTAGAATATTTTCGGGAAACATCGACACACTAAAATCAAATACGTAACCAGAAGTTATTTTCATTTAAATCTTGTCTATTTTCCATGTACGTGAAATCAATGGCGAGGCGATATGGGTAATCGAGAGGCGGCCGCCTCACAGTTTTTTGAAGGGTGGATGGGCAAGGCCGTATCTAAAAAATTTTTTTGGGAGGGGTCCAAAATATGTATATTGTAATTTTATTGAATTAAGATTTTAACTTTTGATATTTAGTTAAAAATAAGACAGAATAAGATTTAATCTTCATTTATTAAAATTAATATCATATTTTCATATATTATGATATACAATTTAAAACAGTCAATGATTAATTGAAGCTTAAGTCATTTTTGACTGAAAATATTTAAGTTGGTGTTGAAATAAATAAGTATTTTAAACATTCGTAAAATATTGAAGACATTTTGGTGGGGAATCCAGACACCCTGGACCCCACCAGATACGGCTATATGGGTGGATTTCAACAAAATATACTTGCCTCTGAAAATTGTTGAGTTTGCCACGCCATTGCGTGAAATTAAATTCGAAATTCGAACTTTTCGTTTCTCAATTCTAATGGAATCAAAAGTTTTGGACCATCATTGTTATTGTTCTGCGGTATCGTTGACCGATTAGCAATAATTGCTAAATAGAAATTCATTGATAATTAGAAACAATTATTGTTTCGACTGCGTTTACCACCACCACTCATTTCCAAACTTTGTACGCCTTCACATGCACTGTTATCAGGGTTTGTACACAAATCACAGCTAACCTCAAATTTTGGCGCGTTCATACTCCGTAGGCATGTATTTTAAATTTTCATCATTGACCGTCGAGACAAGCAATGGAGTTCAAAACAACGATTGCTATGTCAGTTGAGTTTAAACATTTTCCACTATGAATGAAAAATTTGTTTCTTTATGTTTGATTTTTTTCTAATATTTATAATACGTAACGTAAAGTAACGTCTAGTTCAAACGTACATTAGTGCTTTTCATACTATACTGACAATGGATGGTTCGAAGAAGGCTCGATCTTCTAAATTTGGAGGTAAGTAAAATTTTACCCAAATATTAAACTTCACATTTTTTAATATGCGTTTTTCTTCTAGATAATGTTTTAAAAATAACTGAACCATTCGAAATATATAAACTTGATTGTAAGGACATGATTTCCAACACTGATGCTTTCAAGTTACGTAATGCTTTGTTAACAATGAAGTTCAAAAAGAAATCTTGTGATCTCTATTCTTTTGGTCAATCGCCTGATTTTAACCTTTTACCTCGTAATCAAAAACCAAAGGAAGTACTGCAGTTTTTAGAACTACTACAAAAAATAAAAGAGAAAATTTCTATTTACCTTGAAAAAAAATTTAACAAAACAATCAGTGTATCCTGCTCTAAATATGATAATGGAGGTAATTTATATCAAATATTCTAAAAAAACATTAATAGCTATTTGTCAATCCCAAAAACAAGGAAATATGATTTCATTTATGTGTGTTACAAATATCTACATTATATTCCCATTTATTTTAGTATTTTATGTATCTTATTTCTAGACTTTAAATTTATCTAGTATGAATGTATTGTCATATCTTCTATCTATAGAAAGAATAAATATTAATTATTAATTTTATCTATTATTTTAGATTATTTACTATGTCACGACGATTGTGTTGATGATAGGTCTGTAGCGTTTATCTACTATTTAAATTACGATTGGCTAAGTGAATGGGGTGGAACATTAGATGTTTATTCAGTTGACAACAATTTTAATGCTAAAAAAAAGGTCCATAGTATAAACCCTGAATTCAATACTATGATATTTTTTCCAGTTGGTAAAAATACTTATCATCAGGTAATGAGTCTTTTACATGATTTTATTTCAATTATCATTTTTTATGATTAATCTATTTGGTTACAGGTTGCAGAGAATGTATCAAACTTTCCTCGCCTTTCTATTAATGGCTGGTTTCATAGTGTAGACAAGAATTGGGGATGTAATAAACAAAAGATAGAGTTACCATCTCCAATATATTTACCAATTTTATTTTTGTCTTCTGCAAAGGTAAAAGTGCTCTAATTACATAAATCACATGATTAAAAATACTATTTGATTTATTTAAAAATTAATATCTTAAAAAAAGGTTTTATCTAACTATGTTCAAATTTTCTGGATGATAAAAATTAATATTCAAAATTATCTATTTATTACATTTTTTAAAATAATAAATTAAATCATAATTTCGAACATTTTGTAAAATTATCTTGTGTATATAGCAAAAATTTAAATACTATCTTATATTATATAGATTAATGTACTCAATTTTCATATTGGTTTATTTTGTTTATAATTAGGGAACGGATTTAAATGCTCTAAAAAACAAGAAAAATGCCTTAAAAAAATATGATTTAATGCACTTATAACATTTTTTTTTTAAACAATGCTTTTAAAAATATTTTTCTTTATTTTAATTAAAATTAATTAATTGATTCCTCATATTGTTGAACATATAATGTAAATGACAAACATCTGGAGTTTTGGCTTTTTTGAAAACGCATTTTCAAAAATTTTGTGGAACAAAACTACAAAATTCACTTGAAAACGTTAACGATAAAACTATATGTGATATTAAACTCAACAATGCAATACAAAATTAGGATTTAGATGATATATAGCTTATTTTATCTTTATCTAATTGCATGTATTATGCTTTTACGTATATACCTGTGTCTACATGTGTCAATAACTATTCACATTTATCTGATCGATAAAAACATAATAAAAATAAAAGTAGGCATGACATATACAATAAATAATATTTGATTTTATTCTTTTAGAATTAATTTTAACTAAATTGTTATCAAATTTTATCCATTCCTTTATAAAAATGACATGAAAACATAAAAAATGTTAAAAAATTCTCTAAAAAGCAAAAAAAAAACAAAATAAAATTTATATTTTTTAATTCCCTGATGTATGAAAGAAATGTTTTTGGACATTCAGAAAAAAATGCAATTTGCATTTGAATCCATTCCCTATTTATAATGTTAAAATCAAAATAAATGTTTTAGAGTAAAGGTTTCACGGGAATTTCTATTCAACCAATATTTGACGATCCTTTATATAAAGAAGCAATTCAGGAAAAATTCATTGAAGATGGATACATCATGTGTGAAGATTTTTTCACATCAAATATGATAGATATGGTGTCTAATGAAATATTTTCAAATGAATTAGAGTGGAAAGAAAAAGGACCTTTAAATAAAAGGTATTGATAACTCATTGCTTGCTTATCAAATCTCATTTTAATATATATACACATAGACGGTACTAGACCCTCTTGGTGGGGGGGGGGCAGAAAATACTTTAAGTAAAATATTAACACTATTTTGTCTAAATCTTTAGACTAGCAATACTATAAAAAAAAATATTTTATTGATAACTTTTAACTTATTTCAAATAAGATTATTTTGTAAAATGAATACAATTACAAATACCTACATTTACACTATTTTATCTTATAAAATTTTAAAATAATAACTTAACACAATTTACCTGTGATGGTTCTCATAGGCGGACCTAGGTTGATACATTTGAGTGTACCCTGTCATTTTTTTGTTATTTTTTCAAAATATAAAAGGAAGGCTATAAACATGTACGTGTAGACCATGTTATAATTTAAAATCTAAAAGGCTTCGCTAATGATGTAAAATAACGATTGGTAAAATATACACGTAATTATGAATTCAGACTTATTCTGAACACTTGCAATATTACTTACAAAAACTAAAATTTAATTAATGTGTATGCACATATATTCTCAATTTTTTTATTCGAATTAATCACATTAGGGTGTGCCAAGGCACACGCGGCACACCTCGTAGAGCTGCCTATGATAGTTTTCTTTTATGAAAAAATTGTAGAAAGTTTTTATTTTTTTACTTTAGTTTGTGTTGATAATTTTTATTATAATTAATATTATCCAAAAAAACTCAAGAATACTAAATAAAATACACACTTCGAATCAAAGTATAAAATCATACAAAACGCTTGTGATACAGATAATAAGTAATATCTAATATTGGTTTATGATTTGTCAATGATAAATATAAATTATAATAATATTGAAAATGTTAACGCAATAAATCTTATCAGCATATTTACATGAATGGCTCCCACGGTTGTAGGTAATAATATTGTTACTTACAACCATGCAGACTCTAAATAACCATGTAATATGAGAGGTTACCAACCAATATTTGAAATGTATAAGGAGAGTAAGAACTCGCAGAGGGGGCAGCCGCTTACCTTACCCCTCTCTTAGTACTGCCTATGTATATACATATATATTTTTTTTTTAATTTATTTTAGGCATTACAAGTATGTTGAATTGGATAAAATACCATTTAGACTTATGTTTATTGTTAATTTTTTGAAGACTGATCACATGTTTAAATTTTTTAAAGACTGTACCGGTTTGGATTTTAGTGGTGGTAAGCAAAATATTCAGTTATAAAAATAAAACTTGATTTTAGTTATTAATGTTAATTTTTATATTTGTAGTTTCAATTGAAGTGCAAAGATGGCATGGAGGACACTATATGGTATCTGGCGGAAACGATGGGTTACACTGTTTAAGTGTGTTGAGCGTCTATTTATTTTTTAGCCGTTGTTTTGGTAGCATGTCTGAAAACGTAAAGGATGATGTTCATTACGTTTTCGAAGATAGAAATACACTGGCTGCGGTAAAATACATTATAATACAATTTGAATTAATAAAATTGAATTATTTTATTACTTATTTATAATTTTCTAGAAATTTGCATGTAAACCTCAGCACAATACTATTTTTATGGTGAATCGTAAATCAGATATGGAATCATATGTCAAATATTGTAAAAAAGTTGATGGACATGCTTGGACTGTAATTGTTGCTAATTATTTAGTTAAAAACAGCTTGGATTGTAATGTTAGGCTTAAACAAATGACAAATTAATTTTACTTATATACATTGTTTTTTTTATTGATAAACTTGTTAATTTTCAAGTTATAGTTTTTTGTATTAGAATTAGTAGAATTTTATCATTGATTATTTATTATAGTTGTGCTGTGTAATATTTCTACTGTGGTATGATTTATCTATAATGTGTTTTCTATTAAATTAATGTATATATATAATATAAATACGTATAAGTGAATTTATTTTCTATTTTATTTAATTGGACTCAATAATCATGTAGTGAAAAGTTTCTTGGCTAGCAATGGTAAAACGATTATTATTCAGTTATTGGTTAATTTGCTTCATAAGACAAAGAAATAGTGACTGAAGCTCTATTTTTGAGAAGGAGTGGATCACAATTCCAATAACTCATCACTGGATCTGTTACAAACTCTGTGCTCCCAAAGTCATAAGACATAAAATAAGAAAAACAATATTTTTGTATAATTTTTCAACTATTAATTTTTTATCTTAGGGGTGCTGAAGCACTCCTAAGCAACCCCCTAGTTGCGCTTATGCTAATGAGTCTATTTTATATATAATATATAAATTATGATAAATTAATGGCAGATAAAATAAACGTAATTTTATGAATAATAACAAAACATTATTTTTTTTAGTGCAATTTTAGATTCTTTAAAATGCAATTTTCGTTATATCTTAGTGCAATACTGTAATCAATTTTACTACTATCTTACTACTACAACATCCATGCCATATTTTTAAAAATATCACGAAAAAATTATAATTACCAATAATTACAGAAAAACCATAGGGTAGTAGAATTAATGAAAATATTAAAAAAAAAATCCACATTATGATCAAAAGTGAAAATTGTTAATTTAGAATAAAAAAAAGATGAATACACGCCGTGTTAAAATCCTGTGAAGAAATAAAAAACCAAATCAATACAAATCATATAAAATATATATATATATATATATTAAATAATAATTAATTTAATAAAACACTAATTTCAACATCATAAAAATATAAAATGTCTACACAGAAAAAAGGTAATGTAGTAAAAATTATGTAATTATAAAAAAAAGTGAAAATTTTTATAAAATAAGAGAAAAAGTGGCAATATAAAAAAAATCAATATATTATAAAAATGGTAAAAAAAAAGAAAAGCCCTGTGAAGGGAAAAAACCAAAAAAATTGACGAGTTAAATTAGTTAGTTGAAAAAAGTAGTACCATACAAAAAAAGGTATGAAAAATTGTATAAAAAAAATCTAAAAAATGTATAAAATATATGAAATTTATAAAATGAAAATGTTCTGGATCACGATGTTTTCCATCCACTGCTTCGACTTCGGATTTAACATCACTTCGGAGAAGGTTGGTTCGATCGCTCCTCCGCCCTCGATCAACCTCTCCAGGTAAAGAACAGCGTTTGAGGAGTTCTTCCACCCCTCAACGCTGACGTGTTCGATGTCCACGCGTCCAAAACCATAGTTTCTCGACACATCTACAGTTTGAGACATGTGGATGGTTTTGGGCACGTGGAGAACGACAACGGGGGCGATCTCACGCGCCAAATCGAGAATGCCGGCTAATCCACTCTTCTGGCGGTTGCACAAATCCTCGGCACTGAACCGCCGGTTTCGATCCTACGCCGGGGCCGCCCACGACGGAGAAGTGATCACCGCGTCGGACGTCACTCCGGACAGCGTCGCGAAGCTATCGCCAACTCGAAACTCGATCCGGTGAACGAGTCCCAGTTCCACGGTCTTCTGGCGGGCCAACCGTATTTTGGCCGGGTCAATGTCCACGGCGATCAACTTTCGGCACGTTCGTGCCAGCCGACGCCGCAAAACGGGTCGACGACCGTGCCGAAAGCGCACCTTCGGGCCACGTGCGCGGCCAACACGTCCCCTGGTACGCGGACACCGAGAAGTGCAACTTGTCGGCAACAGGTCGTCGCTGGAACCGCCAAGCGGCCGGTTTTGCCTCGGCGTCGGGGGGATATGGGTCTCGATGTTCTTGGGCGGTGGTCGGCAGTTTCGGCGGTTTCAATGCGGCGGACCCATCGGAGGGGCCCGACAGCAACGTATTGGGGAAACTGAAGGTGGAAGCGGTCTCTTCCACAACAGCCCCTCCGGTTGTCACAACCGAGTCCTCCTCGGGCCCGTCTTTGCATTAGTACGCTTTATATGATCCCTTACGGTTCTCAGCCAGTGCTTTAATGTTCCAAGTTCTGCGGTCGGCGTCAGGTGTTCCATCTCGGTGAACGCTTCCACGGTCACCGGCAGCTCATCCACCTGAACACCGACGTCCGCGTACTTTATCTCTCTCATTTTCTTGGTCGTCGAAACACCAATATCTCGGTCCCTGGACCACTGATGCTCCGTCTGCCGTCGACGTGGCCCACAATTCTTCGCACCAGTAATGGATAGAGTAACGGGGGCCTGGTCGACCACCCTCGTACCCTCGCGGTCGCTTGATGATGACCGAAGTGGGCCCGCTACATTGGAACCGGTTTTGACACCGGAACCACCCACTCCTGCCGACCTCTGGGGTTCCGAAGCCCCTGAGATGGTAACAATACTCGACTGATAACAACTCATATTGTGGTTTTTTAAGTGATTTCCTTCACTACATTTTAACCCTACTGCCGAGGGGTTTTTTATCAAGGTTTTCCTTTTTCTAGGACGGCTGCCACCCGAGGCTGAAGAGCCCGCCCTACCCTTTATTGAGAACCGCTTTGTCGGCCCTCAGTTCGTCGACCTATCCAATATGGGAGACCCTATTGGTAGTAAACTACCGTTGGCATAGCTCTCGGAACTGTTGAGGGACGCAAGCCCCCCAACCACGTCAAGGTGGGTTCTCGTGGGGGGGTTAGTCGAGACGTCATGCTTGACGAGAAACATACCCAGCCCTACAAACGAGGCAGGGAAAGACAATATATATATTATTTTTTTACACCTCACTAAGGGGTAATCATGAGAGATTGTCTCGTGACTATTGCGGAATATATTTATAATCTATTAAGATAATTTATTAAGGAATTTATTACGTACACAGGTGTACACAGTCAACTTCAATAGCTTTGATTTATAAATTATAATATACTTCAACTCTCGTTAAATACTAACATAAATAATAAAAATATAATATCAAATTAAATAATAATAAATAATAATATAAATAATTTAACATACATTTTTATTGCATATAAACTATTCAAAAAAAAAAAAAAAATCTTATTAAATCATATTATATCTTTAACTATTTATGTATAATCACAGAATATTTTATGCTGTAATAATATAATAAATAATCTGTTACTTTTAAATAACAAATATAAGCCAATTACTACTTGCAAAATCAACATTATCCATTATCAGAGTATAGTCATATGTGTGCCCGGGCATACCCCTAAATGTAGTAAACGGGGCCCCTAAAACATAAGTCTAAAAATGAGGGTTTCTTATTTTAACTGATGTTGCATAAATTAAATGTAATTTATTCTAATATACTCGCCAAAAATTAAATCATGTTTCATATAATAAAAACTAAAACTAAATTTTCGTGCAAAAACTTAATATGATAACACATCATCTAAAATTGACAAATCATAAATAATTATAGCTGTCCGAGAGAAATATATTAGATTCAAGGAAAACATATCAATAGGACTAATAACCACAATATTAATTAAAAAATTATATTTATGTGTATTTAACTATATACATTATAATTTATTAAATATACCAATATGTTTTGTTATTATAAAGCCAAAAAGTATAGTAGGCATTCCCTTAAATACAGGTATCCACTCGCTTATGAATATAGGATACTAGAATGAAACAAGTTATAGGAAAAAAATTGTATCTGACAATTGTTAATAATTTATTTAAGAATAAGGTTTATAAGACTTAAATTATAAAAATAATTATTTATTTTCATTTGACCCACAATCTTCCTAAATTTTTAAAAAATGACCCTTAAATACTTACTAACATTTTCTTAAAAATTATTATTTTATTAAATATTTAATAATCTAGGCTTAAAAAGGTCGGAAAATGATTAAAAGACCTTACCTGGTAGAAATATCTGCTCGACAGATGTCTGCATAGACTATCTCCAATGACTGGCGAATCCAATATCTCAAAAGTCAACAAATCGACCACTGATCAGCGGATATGGGGATAATAGTTAAGTGACAAATTAAAATTGCTTACACTTGAAACTTTAAAGTATTAATGACTTCAGGAAATATTAGAAGGAAATTGTATGTGTTCACTTTCGACTCCGTTGTTGATGTGACAAATATTTCGTACGAACTATTGTTAGTTGAACAATTTAATTTAAAACGTCATAGCAACGCGTTATTGTTAGTAGCCAATAACAGTTATTATGCGAATGATGTAATTTTTTTCAATTTTTTCAAAAATGTCATGTACCATTAACTAAATCTTCTGATGAGAATCGTATATAAGTGTTTATAATAATGTTGATACAAAGTAGGTTATATATGTATATAAATAAAATTTGTTATATGTACAAAATGTTGACATAAAATATGTAATTTGCTCAATGTAATGCCCAGGAATTTTCAGTGAGAGGTTAGTGATGTTAAAAGTAATAATAATAAAATTAAGAGATTGTGATTTGAAGCCAAAAACTTTACAAGGAGACTTTAATGGTTAGGCTATTCAAATTGCTTGTAACTCATAAAGTTATTGTTTATAAAAGTGTTGATAAATCATAGTTGTATTATGAATGCATTTAAAAAAAAAAGACAATCGAGTCTTATCTCTTAACCTCCCCTCCCTCTGAACCAGGCCATCATTTGGGATGGGGCAGAGTGTGCAACGGCACCTCTAACTTAAAAATTGTTGGCAATTGGTTCGTCATTAATACTCCAATGTGCCATTATAATAAACTTATTCATTATGTTTTCATATATTATATATTAAATAAAATATATATTTAATAATAAGTATATATTTTTTCCAAGTTATTTTTGTTGAATTTTTGGTTTTTCAGCTTTTTTATCAAATGTTTACGACACGTGGAGTTGATTTACGTGTGTTGGTGAGGTATTCTATACTTGTCGGCACCTTGATAGATTAACCATTTATCGTGAACTAAAGTGCCTCCAATTTTCCATGCTTTCGTTAACGATGCGTTGTGGAATCAATTAATTTGTGCGAATTACTGCAATTTCATCTCTCAACTGTTGTTACTTGTAACGTGTGTATTCGTATTTCGTTTCGTGTGCGAAACTTTTTTTGTATAACTACAATAACATCTTAGAAATGGACAAAAAAAAAAAAAAAAAGAAAATGGCAGCGCTGCTCGTTTACGAGAAAGCAAAAAAAAATTAATTACTTGTAGCCGATTCTTCTTGTCATAATTTATTCAGCATTTTTAAGAAAGCCGAAATTAATCAAATGGAAATAACTGTAAGTTTTAATTTAATAATATGAATGCACCTACCTATATATTAATTTATAATGTAACTTGTGTAGGAATTTAAAGACTCACTATCTTGTAATCAAACGATTTTAAATACAAGTAAGACCCGTAGATATTTGCTAATTTAAAATAATTAATAATTTGATGTTTTGTATTAACAATGGTTGATTTAGGAATTAAAGTGTTTTTTGTCATACCGTTTACCTTTTTTTCAAATAATAGTGAAATGGATTTAGCTAGTTTCTTTACTTTAATCACTTAAGAGCTTTTAATTCTATGAATTGCTAGCTATTTAAAAGTTACATTAGTCGTAATAAGTAATTTCAATTAGAATTATAAAAAGGAAGGAAAAAATATTTACATAAGTTTGCTTAGGTTACCTACATTAAATGTAGGTATATTTATATATATATATCCGCAGGGGTACTCTGAATAGAGTAACGGGCCTTTAAATTGTATACAGTCAATAGACTACATATTGTCGTCACTTGTCACTAGCAAACTGTTTTTATCGCTGATAAACATTATAATGTACAATAATTATTATTGCACATACATATTTGGAGAATTTTATATGGAAGCCTTAAAGATAATCGTGAATTGCGCCGGACAACAGTGCTAGCGGGTATTCCAAATTATATTGTTTACAAATGGATAATTTTTTAATACTGCATAATATAATATGACACAGTGCCAGTCAAAATAATATAATATACATTATTTTGAATTTACAATGAGTAAATATAATGTGTAACGATGAAAAGTACATATTTTTATTTATAAAGATGCCACCCTAAAATTTAAAAAAATTTGCTACCCTGTGGGGTCGTACAGGTCTCACGTGTCTTCCACCGACCCTGAATATAACTACGTACAAAAATAACAATGTATTAATATTTGAATTATATCAAATAGGTAAAAAAAAAAATATTTATTATAATAATAATAAATAAACACTGATGTAATTCAATTTATAAATTTAGAGTATTAATAATTTAAATGAATATTGATTGGAAAAAATGTATTTAAGTAATAGAAAAATATTATTTACACAACCTAGAATACTTAATTATTATAAGTTTTTAAAATTTAATGGATTAAATATAAAAAAATAAAATAGTAGCTATAAAAAACATGAATATATTTTATTTAAATATAAATACAGTTGTTATTTAAAAGAAAAACGACGTACCTGTATTTGTGGGAGTAATTAGGTTCTTATGTGTTTATTTCTCGTAAGTTCTTTTCACTCTGGATCGGCTGGATTGGATTTTGTAGCTTTTGTAAATTATTTAATGAACTTGGAATTGTGAAACAAAGATAAAAATGTTTGTCTAGTTATATCCTATAATAATTAGATTATTTAATAGATAATTTCACTCAAATTTTCGATATAAAAGATTAAAAACAAATCATTTTTGTTAGAAAAAAAAGTATATTATATAAAAATTTAACAAATCCTTGTTTCTTAACCGATCTGTTAAAATAATAACAGTTTTAAAAATTATAACTAGTCTTTTTAATTTTACTAGTTTTCATCTTCGGTATTGTATATCGGACAGGAAGGATATTGTATGTTCTTTACATATATACACACACCACCTAACGAACAATTTAACTGATATAATCAATAATGCCGAATTTGACCGATCATAATATCCACAAACATATGATTTTGAAGGGTTTTTGTCCTTATTTTAGTTTAATATTATTTATATAAGAGGTATACGGAGTTTCAAAACAATCTATTTTTATTTGAATAAGTCGTTTCTAATATAAGTTTAATGTTAGCGAAACACCGATACCGATGACGGGTTAAATTTATAATATATTTTACGTAATATAATTATTATTATTTTTTTGAACTATAAAATTAAAAAAAAGCCCATTATGTATCATATTCACAAACCAGTTCCTTGTCGTCTATGATTGTCACATTTGCCGAAAAATATTATTTGATTTGCTATTTATATAGAACCTTTTCTCCTTCACCTTATTTGTTGTATAGCCTAAATCTTTTCTAACCTTTTTCTTTAAAATCCTTAAATGATGCTAAATCTGCCACTGGTTGATATACTGTGCATTATATTATACTTTCAATTGTTAATAAAAAATAAAAAGAGGTATCCTGGGGTGTATATGCCTACCATGTAATAAAAGTCTCAATTCATTCCTAAATAATACAGCCAATAAATAAAATGTACTACAGTTTCTTACATTTTTATTATATTCCATGATAAAATAGTAATATCATTAATTAATTATTAGTGAAGTAATTTTAACAAAATGACCATTTTAAACTTAAACCAACAATTTTAAATAATTTTTTCAAAAAAATAATCTTAGAAAACATTGACATTATGAAATATATATAAATAGTTCAAAAAAATTGGAAATCTTCTGAAAAGTATACCCATTAAAGCAAACGGTGGTATAAGCAATCAATGAAAATTTATTCTGATCTCTAAAGTTATTTTTTAAGTTACGAAGAAAACTAAAATTTGATTTTGTCAAAAATCGGGAAGGATATTAAGAAATCCGTAAAATAATACGCTTAATGTACCATAAACTAGACAAGAAAGTATACACTGTACGGTTTGCATCAATAAATAAATTAATAGTATTTTATACGAATTTAAAACATTCAAATAATATACATTAAATTTCGTGAAATCGCAGATCCGTTAAAACATTTTATCGTGTAATAATATTAACGGAATTAAAACAGAACAAGATTGAACGATTGGATAATATCCAAGCGTAAATCAACTATCTCAACGAATGAACCGTGGTGCCGCAATGATCTTATCGTAGGTACGACATTTTATCGTAATCGTGTGAACAGCTTAATTTATAACCATGTTATTTATAATATCGTACGATAATATTTTAATACGATAAATAAATCGTACCATGAAATATCGGTCGTGTGTACCGGCTCTTATGTCTTTTTAATTTATTTAATATATCTGTACATATCTCTATTAAGAACATAATACTTTTTTGTAAACAATATATTTTATTCTTTGTTGAGGTGCGTACAAATGTTGGTTTTTTGCCGAGCAAACACGAAAACCAAAGCACACAATACATAAATAAATTATGTTTAACAGAATTGATTGGCCAATTTTATAAAAACGTACTTAGTAAATTAAAATACCATACCTATATTGTTGAACGAAAAAATTGTTTTACCATTGATCATCGTACCGTTCCTCATCTCGGTACATGTAGATTGCATATGGTTGTGTTAAGAGACACAGGGCTCAGGACGAAGACCCAGTTCAACCCTAGAGTACAGTGATTTATGAACTAAATACTACGCATAATAAAGTACCAGATGTTTAAAATATTTTCAAGATAGTGAATTACACTTACAAACAAGTGCTGTGAACACGACGGAGAGTATTCAAAATGTTTGAACAGCACTCTTAGGGACGGTTCAGACTTATTGCATTTTATACTAACGACTAACAGCGATGTACTAAATATAAATTGTATAATGAAAACTATTTAAAAATTATTTTATCATTTGATATGTTGAAGCTACTAACCAAATAAGAAAAGGACTATTTTGTATTGCATGTTTTGATAGATTTGTTTACCACAATTGAAACTAAATTTTTATAACTTAAGAGATATAGTTTTCATTTTAACATATTACATTGCCTAATCATGAATATTTACTATTCAGTACTTTTATAGTAATTTGTTAATTTTAATTTAAAACATTCAACAACTGAGATATTTATCTATTTTTTTAAAAGTAATTCACTGATAAATTAACATCTATACGAGGCAGCGATAAAATAAATTTCATTGTCTAATCATGCTATTATCTAATCTTATTAAATTATATAGATAATGTATATTATATATTCATATTATGAATAAATTAATTAGTTAATAGGGATCAATATTAAATATTGTAATAAAGAAAAAAATGATACAAATAAATGCTCACAAATCAAAAAATTACTAAAAAGTAATAAAATTAAGCAAAATCCACTTTTATTATTAATTCATCACAAGTATAATTTAGAAAAAAAAATATCTTACAATAAATGAACTCATATTAAAATATCCTGATTGTATATTCAAGTTTATAGATTGTGTGAAATTATCAGTGTGATTTATGTTATACAGTTTTACCTTGGCTTATTGATAAATACCTAGATTTGAAAATATTTACTGCCAACTAGTTACAAATTGATTCAAAATCAACACAATTATAATTGCTTCTGGTAAAAAAAATAAAAAATGATAAAAATAGGATAGGAATAAGAACAAAAACTTAAGGTTAAAAAAAATATATAAAGAATATTAACTATTTTAATGTATTACCAATTAAATAAAATTAATTGTTTATCCAGAATTACCATATAAAAATGCATCACATTAATTAAGTAGACCATATTTAATATTAATTATTGTTCCAAATGTTTAATTTAAGTATGATTTTTAACTGGAAAAGCAAATTAACTCAGTTGTCCACAATTGGCAATGGCAATCTTCTTGTTTGTCTTACCACTCTGAGTACCATAGGATTCAATCTTTTTGACAACGTCCATGCCATCAACAATATTGCCAAATACTACGTGTTTAGTATCCAACCACGATGTCTTTACAGTTGTGATGAAAAATTGACTTCCATTAGTATTGGCACCAGCATTGGCCATAGAAAGGACACCTAGAACATTAAGAATTGAACATTATTTATCATAGTTATTAATATTGTAGTTTATTTTTATATACTATTTATTATTATTACACGGGTTGTTAGTTGAATCAATAATCATGAAATGGATGTAAACTTTCAATTTATAACTTATAAAATCATGATAAATATGATATTTAAACCAAAGGAGGAAAAAACATAAGTGTTTACAGTATTGGCCTTGAACATTAAATTAACTCAATTATATAAGATAAATTTATAAATATTAATATAAATAAATTTTTTGTTTTAAGAAATTTGTTAAATAAATCCCTACATGTTTATACATTAATATATATTAGCAACTTACCAGGTCCAGTATGCTTCAGTATAAAGTTTTCATCTTCGAATTTATTTCCGTATATAGATTTTCCTCCAGTGCCATTATGGTTCGTGAAATCACCACCTTGGCACATAAAGTTTGGAATAACACGGTGAAAAATGCTTCCCTTGTAACCGAAACCTTTTTCTCCAGTACACAGAGCACGGAAATTTTCAGCAGTTTTTGGTACAACGTCACTGCGCAGCTAAAAATTTAAAATTTAATTATAATTGATATATTTATAACTTAGTTAATATTAGTTATTATGGAATATCTAAAATGTAAAATAGATAATTAGTTAAAATACACAATTTATAGAGCAATAAATTTTAATTTAATAATAAATATTTAAAAAGGAAGTATATAATATATTAATATATTATTTATTATATATTATCTTTAAATTACATTGCTGCACAATTACAAGTGTAATACAAAATATAATTTGTTAAAACTCAATAAAGAATATTTAGATTTAAAAATCTTGTTAGCTAAGTTGATGGACAAAAATGATTTACATCGATTTAAAACTTAAATTTATTTTTCTTATTTTCAGACAAAAAAAAAAAAAAAATGAATGAACAAATAATACTTAGTTCTTTGTATAGTGTTTTAATTAGTAGAACATAAAGTTGTTTTGTCAAAATAATAAATGCAATTTACTTTACAAATGCAATATTTTAGTTAAATATGAATAATTCATAATTTTCTATTAGGAGGAAATTGAAGAACGATTATTTTTTAAATTTGGATGAATTTATATAATTAATTTATGAATAATTAATAAGATACATAGATTTTGGATCTTATGCTGTGAATGTTAAACTACTATTAACTAGCAAGTAAATGTAATATACAAGAAAAACAATATTACTAACATTAATGCAGTACACCAATAATTGACATGTAATTATTGAAACACATTGACAAACGATGTGATAGTATTAAAAGTTAGGGGAAATTGTTAATGTACTAATTTTACAAAAAAAAAAAAAAAAAGAGGTCACAACAAAGAAAATGAAGTAAAACAATTTACATAAGAGATAACTTTCATAAAAACAATTTTAAACCAGAACATAGTTGATTTCATTGTAGCAAAAATGTGGCTTGATACTAATAGGTCCTAACTGATAGCCCAAACCTCTCTGACATGTTTTCAATTCGGATAAGACTACTTTATTTTTCATTAGAGCTTAATAGTAACTAGTACTAATAATACATATTATACAATGTATATTATACATACATAGTAGTATAATGTACATAATAATAAATTGTCTGTAACAAACAAGCGGTTAATTGAAATATATCATGATGGTTCAAGAGCATTTTTAATAAACACCTACAACTGCAGCATAATAACATAAATTTCATTGTAAAGATTGTGGGCGGTAAAGGTAATATAACTTAAGTCTCATAAAATATTTACCCAAATCTAAATCATTAACATTCTTAATAAAAATTAAATAGGTACTAGTAAGTAAATGCATTTTTAATATTTCGAAATCATCTAATAAATTAATTAAATAATATAATTTTTGATCCAACTTATTGCAACAATGACTAATAATTAAATAATTTTAGTAAAAAAAAATAAAATTTTGACCACATGCTATAATAATCTACTCAAGATAACTAAGAGTCTTAAGCCATTTAACACAACAGATGAAATTGAAAAATTAAAAATAACCTATGAATAGAAGTTCTGTAAATAGCAATTGTTATTGCAACAGCAAATTTACTTTTTCAGTTATTTAAGAAGTTAATAATATTATCTACAGAAAACACGTAAAAATTTAAAAAACAAAAATCCAAAAACAGCAATTAATTTTTATTTAAAAAAATATTTTTTTTATATTAAGTAGAAAACGACATCATAATAAAATCAAGAAAACATAAAATGATGAAAAATGTTTAGAAAAAAATACTTGAAAAAGGAAAAAGATAGATAGGTGTATTAACAATTGCCAAGTGGTAATAATATTTATAATACAAAAGGTTAATGTAGATGGAAAACGATGTTCGAATTCGGTGTAATATGAGGCGCATAGGTGGTAAACAACAAATATTTAAAAAACGACCCACAATACAACTGATATGAAAAATCTAATTCCCATATGGTTTATCGAGATTTTTTGGACAATGAAAAATATTAATATTATAATTTAGACATTTAACGAGTACAAAACATAAAATAATTCAATGAAATTTCAGATCAACGACATGACCACGGATGATGAGTCCGGATACAGACGTAAACAATAAATAACGGGAGTCGAGGAAACGAGATCATATTTTCAAAACGGAGGGGCCGAGATTTACTCACCTCGATCGTGATGCGGCCCAACTGTTCGCCGTCGGCGGTCATGTCGAAGAAAACTCTTGGCAAGCTCATTTTGCCGGTCGGTGGTTTCGATTTAGTGGAATACGATAGAACGGAAGAGAATCCTCCGGCGAACGAGTGCTTAGAAGCGAAGCAGTGTTGGAATTGCCGGCAGGTGAACAAGCGAAACGTGGTAGACGCCATGTCAGAACCGATTTCGAGGTTATGTGGCAAAGGAACGCTACTACCGTCCAAAGACAATGGAAACGCGACGATGACTGTGCGACTCTGGGAACCGTTCAGCAATGCGCGTACGTCGATGTCGTAGTTGCTACACTGTACGGCGTTGAAACAAAGCGTTAGCAGTCGTTGGCGAGTTGAAGCGTCGCCGACCAGTCTGTACAACCTACGCGGCGGTCTCGACGGCGCGGTAATTACGAGTACCGTGGTAACCGGAGGCAGCGGGTTCACGGGTTGCCGGTCGGCACAAGGTACAGACTACTGATTTAGAACGAAGATTCAATTCTATTACGTGCCCCGCGTCCGTCGGGATTCCGATTTAAACGCCGACAGCGCGATCGCGTCCACGCCCACGATCAGCTGCAATACAGGTCGCCGCCGATGGAGGACGAAAGGTCATCGCGGTCGGCGTTCAACTTGTCGGTACGGATATGTCCGGCTTTTGCAATGTCGACCGATTTTAATATTATCGCGGCAGCCGAACGGGAGTCGTCATGTTACCTCGTTCTTTACGGTTCAGACGCATTTCGGATAATTTGTTGAGCGATCTTGGTGAAAATAATAAGCTATTATTTTAATCCTTGGTCGTAACTCATGCCCACGTTGCTGCCGACTGGACGTACCTCGACGATATCGAAATAACTGTACCACGGTTTACGATCGAAAGTGTACACGCAAACGTGTACTGAAATCAAATCTGATCTGTAGTTACTGAGCAAATGGATCAAAAGATTTAGTTTTACACTGCAAACTGCATCGCGTTTTATCGGTAGTCTAATGGGGATTAGAGCGTGCCACGAGACGTTTATTTAATTTTCATAAGCGTTTCGTACAAGGGCGTTTTTGTGTTGTGGTCATGAGGGGGGGGATGAAACTAATTTTTCTCCAATACAAAGTTAAAAATAATTTACAGTTCATTACAGGAGCTTACCCAAGAGAGGTTTCGGGTTTGAATTCCTTCATTGAAATTTCTATATACTCTATGGTTTAATAGTAGATAGTATATAGTGTATTTTAATTTACCATTATTTTCAATATACAAAATTTATAGATTTTAGAATATAATGTATAAAACATGTTAAATTTATACTGCTTTTTTTAATATTATTTATTATTGTTAATTAAATAATGTATTTTTTTATAACATTTTACTACCAAATAAAAATTGATTTCAAATTATAGTACCTACCAATTTAGTAAACCTTTGTGCAGATTGTGATGTGTGTATAATTATTGTGACTATTACTATAGTTATTAACAGTAATTTGTTGGTATTGAATTAAACTATAATTTTTTTTATAGTTATTTATTTTATCTATTTTTAACTATAATTATAAGTAGAGAAAAGATAAAATAAAAATGTTAGACCCCCCTAAAAAATTCCTGGGTACGCCCCTGGTTCATTACCTACAGCAGCTCATGTTCCTGTTGCTCATTTGAGTGAAGTTATCAGCTGACGAACTAATGAGACGGTAAAATTTATTTTCCAAACCCGAAATGAAGTCCCACTCCGCCCTGTAATCAAGTCTCCAATGGAAGGCTCATAATTAGACTAAAACAGTAGGTATTTTTAAAGAAATCTTTTATTTTATATTTACTTCAAAAAATAAAATAAAACAAATCTTTAGATGTATAAAGCCACTTAATATAACTAAACTTTTTGATTTTATGTCTCGGTAGTATGTACAAAATTGCATAATTTTAAGTCATATTTTATTTGCATAATTTTTTTATCATAACACATTTGTTATTATTTATATTTTGTTTAATTTCATACCTATGTATCTGTATACATAAAACAAATTTATTATTTTAACTCATATTCACATAGGCGTAACTTGGAAATTTATTAGGGGGGGGGGGGGCAAAAATATAATTACATATCTAACAAAAATGGTGTCCGAGGTTAAATGCCGCTTTACTACTTACCATATTATTATATAAAATTATTCATTTTCTAACATTGTGTTAGATAAGCGAAAATTTAAGATTTAAAAAAAAAATGTTATAGTAATAGCTATAACCAGTTATTTTGTACTTATTTTAAAACAAGGTATTTTAAATACCAGAAGGGGCACTGCCCCTCCTAATTTTTTCTAGGGAGATCAATTCCCCCCCCCCTCGTACCCCAGTTTACGCCTATGCATATTCATACATATATTAATTGTTTAAGATTGAAAATGAATTTTAACAATAGTTTGCTTGGTGATTGCAACTCATTTTCTGAGGTCAGTGTTCCATTTAGTCTTAAATGATAGTAGATTAAGCAATGAGTTCATAGACCTACAACCTGCAGTCACATCTAATAATCAAACACCATTGTCAGAAGATGACAAAAACAGTATCCGAAATTTGCTTAATAGTTGGAATTTGGCAAATTTATTTCAAACTTGTCTTAGTGAGTATAAATTAATTACATCAATAGCCTAAATCATATGCAGTGATTAAACAAAATAAATTCATGAATATTGACTGATTTTGAATTATTTTTTTTTTTTTGTATTTTGTGCTACATGTCTCAATTTAAATATTTATTCATACTTTTTTCTAAGAATAAAATTATACCTTCAACTAAAATATAAATGATGTGATTTAAATAGATAAATAGATGAATAGATAAAGATGAATATATGGACAAAGAAGCTTTTCTGTATATAAATAGTAGGCAAATTAAAAAACTACTGCAGAAGTATCCTCTTGGTATTCATATACAATTTGAGTATTATGTAAAACAGTAGCAAGACACCAAGTGGAATGATTCAAATTCAAATCCCCTTACGACTTCATTTACACCCCCCCCACCATCAAGTTCATTATTAGCAGGATTATCAGAACCATTACCAGAGTTTTCTCTTGATGAAATTTTAAAAAGAAGGTTAGTTCATTAGTTACTATGAATCAAATAAAAACAAATGAAGCATGTAGAAATCTCTTGGTTGATTTGATAATAGTCAATTTGTTTGAAAAACAACTTCCCAGGTCTACTGCCTTGGCTAATCAGATGTCAGATATAATATTTAGAACCTTTACTACAGAAATAAAAGTACATCGCATATATTAAATATTATAACATTTTTTTTGATAGGAAATATACTTTGAAAGAAGTGAATTGAAAATGTGTCCAAAAGTAAAACTTTATGCAAAGTACTTTAAAAAATAAAGAAGCTTAAAAAGTCATGGATTGATGTCTTCAAAAGTGTCATATGTGCAGGAAAATAGTAAGCCGCCCTCTAGGATTTCTGGAAACATAAATATGAAAATAAGTAACTATATTATGTTTTATATGCATTTAATTTAACTTAATTATTTAATTCCTGTTTTATTAGTAATTGAAGAAGATGCGGAAATTCTTAATGCCAATTTGAAACATGAAGAGTTAACTTAGCCAGATATTGAAATGATTTGGGCAAAAACTATTGGTTATCGTTTGAATCATCTTAAAACAATTAATTTTTCATATTCAGAAATCCATAAGACATGGCCTCAGTATATGCAACCATTAGGGTATAAACTTGTAAGTAAATTGATATTAATATTTTAAAAGAGTAAAAAAAAAAACATATTTTTATTAAGATTACAAACATAATAATGATATTATATAGTATGTAATAGTTACCTTCTTACCTAACTAAAAATATATTGTAGGAATCCTTTAATTTTTTTTTTATATACAAAAAATAGCTTTAATATTAAACTTTGGTTGGTATATGATTATTAGTAAAATGTATAAATTATACTAATTAATAGAACATACGAAATCTTAAAAAAAAATAATAATAATCAATTAAAAATAGGAAAATGGTTAAGTTTTAATTTGTAGTGACAGTGATAAAGTTTTGAAAATCTAATTTGCTGTAGTGTACTATGTTGTACCTACCTAATTAAATCATATTTTAATTTAATAATATATTTTTAAGATTGATATTGATTTCAAACGGATACATGAGAAGTATACTGATTTATTAAGTAGTCATGAAAAATCATATGTTAAGCTGGTACAAATAAAAGATGAGCATATAAAGGACCCTAGCTGTTGAAAAATATTAGAAAGCATGATGAATATGAATAATGCACCAGAAAATTAGTTTCGACTTTAATATTATAACGAGCTATTTTATATTTTACACAGTTGTTTTTTTTTTATATGTATAGTTAACCACTATATTATATTGTCTTAATTTTCTATGTTTATGTATACTTTTGTCACATTCAATTTAAAGTAAATATGATAATTATTGCATCTCAGAAAAGATAATTTTCTATCTTCTTGCTATCTTTTTTTGTTTTAAAAACAACCTATATAGGTAGACATGTTTCCATTATTATACAATCATAAACACAATATTTTTATGAACATTTTGATCTATAGAAAACAAATTTTGAATTTATTATGTATTTGCATTTAATGTATAGAATAGTGGAATTCTATGTATGCTGAAATTAACTAAACCATTTCATATTGCATCATCTTCTACTTAAACTTTAAATGCTTGAACAATACTATTCTAATACCTATATAATTATTAATTATTGGTAGAATATTTATTCTTCATCAATCACTATTTCCTGAAAAATGTTTTTGATTTTCCTTTGAATGTAAATAAGCTCATTTTAGACTTTTTAGTGTTTTTAGTTAAAAAATAATTATTTTTTCAGATTATAAAAACGCTTTGGTATTGTATGTTCTTCATGCTCTTTTTTTCCAACTTTAAGATTTAAGAACTTCACGGATTTAAATAGAAGAAAATATTTCACTAAATTTTCAATTAAAGATTCACTAAACAGTTTTATCGTAATGGCAAATACATCAATTGAAATCGAGAAAATATTAAATTGTATAATCTACTCGTCATATTTATTATATTTAGCATTTGTATTTGTAATTGCGCACCTGAAACACAACGTTGAGTAGTATAATAATTATAATATACAAAAGTATATGAAGAACCTAAAAAACCAAAAAAATACAGTATATGTTCTTCCCTTAAAGTTTGATTATAGGTCAGTTTACTCTAATATTAAAGCTAACTTCACTACATTTGAATCACTGAACGCATATTTGCTATGT